GCTTTTCTTGACCTGCTGCTCACAAACCGGGTAGAATTAGTGGGGGAAGCAAAAGTGGATGGGAATCTGGGAGGCAGTGACCATGAGTTGGTTGAGTTCAGGATCCTGACGCAGGGAAGAAAGGTAAGCAGCAGGATACGAACCCTGGACTTCAGGAAAGCAGACTTCGACTCCCTCAGGGAACGGATGGCCAGGATCCCCTGGGGGACTAACTTGAAGGCGAAAGGAGTCCAGGAGAGCTGGCTGTATTTCAAGGAATCCCTGTTGAGGTTACAGGGACAAACCATCCCGATGAGTCGAAAGAATAGTAAATATGGCAGGCGACCAGCTTGGCTTAATGGTGAAATCCTAGCGGATCTTAAACATAAAAAAGAGGCTTACAAGAAGTGGAAGATTGGACATATGACCAGGGAAGAGTATAAAAATATTGCTCGGGCATGTAGGAATGATATCAGGAGGGCCAAATCGCACCTGGAGCTGCAGCTAGCCAGAGATGTCAAGAGTAACAAGAAGGGTTTCTTCAGGTATGTTGGCAACAAGAAGAAAGCCAAGGAAAGTGTGGGCCCCTTACTGAATGAGGGAGGCAACCTAGTGACAGAGGATGTGGAAAAAGCTAATGTACTCAATGCTTTTTTTGCCTCTGTTTTCACTAACAAGGTCAGCTCCCAGCCTGCTGCACTGGGCATCGCAAAATGGGGAAGAGATGGCCAGCCCTCTGTGGAGATAGAGGTGGTTAGGGACTATTTAGAAAAGCTGGACGTGCACAAGTCCATGGGGCCGGACGAGTTGCATCCGAGAGTGCTGAAGGAATTGGCGGCTGTGATTGCAGAGCCATTGGCCATTATCTTTGAAAACTCGTGGCAAACGGGGGAAGTCCCGGATGACTGGAAAAAGGCTAATGTAGTGCCAATCTTTAAAAAAGGGAAGCAGGAGGATCCTGGGAACTACAGGCCAGTCAGCCTCACCTCAGTCCCTGGAAAAATCATGGAGCAGGTCCTCAAAGAATCAATCCTGAAGCACTTGCATGAGAGGAAAGTGATCAGGAACAGCCAGCATGGATTCACCAAGGGAAGGTCATGCCTGACTAATCTAATCGCCTTTTATGATGAGATTACTGGTTCTGTGGATGAAGGGAAAGCAGTGGATGTATTGTTTCTTGACTTTAGCAAAGCTTTTGACACGGTCTCCCACAGTATTCTTGTCAGCAAGTTAAGGAAGTATGGGCTGGAAGAATGCACTATAAGGTGGGTAGAAAGCTGGCTAGATTGTCGGGCTCAACGGGTAGTTATCAATGGTTCCATGTCTAGTTGGCAGCCGGTATCAAGTGGAGTGCCCCAAGGGTCGGTCCTGGGGCCGGTTTTGTTCAATATCTTCATAAATGATCTGGAGGATGGTGTGGATTGCACTCTCAGCAAATTTGCGGATGATACTAAACTGGGAGGAGTGGTAGATACGCTGGAGGGGAGGGATAGGATACAGAAGGACCTAGACAAATTGGAGGATTGGGCCAAAAGAAATCTGATGAGGTTCAATAAGGATAAGTGCAGGGTCCTGCACTTAGGACGGAAGAACCCAATGCACAGCTACAGACTAGGGACCGAATGGCTAGGCAGCAGTTCTGTGGAAAAGGACCTAGGGGTGACAGTGGACGAGAAGCTGGATATGAGTCAGCAGTGTGCCCTTGTTGCCAAGAAGGCCAATGGCATTTTGGGATGTATAAGTAGGGGCATAGCGAGCAGATCGAGGGACGTGATCGTTCCCCTCTATTTGACATTGGTGAGGCCTCATCTGGAGTACTGTGTCCAGTTTTGGGCCCCACACTTCAAGAAGGATGTGGATAAATTGGAGAGAGTCCAGCGAAGGGCAACAAAAATGATTAGGGGTCTGGAACACATGAGTTATGAGGAGAGGCTGAGGGAGCTGGGATTGTTTAGCCTGCAGAAGAGAAGAATGAGGGGGGGATTTGATAGCTGCTTTCAACTACCTGAAAGGGGGTTCCAAAGAGGATGGCTCTAGACTGTTCTCAATGGTAGCAGATGACAGAACGAGGAGTAATGATCTCAAGTTGCAGTGGGGGAGGTTTAGATTGGATATTAGGAAAAACTTTTTCACTAAGAGGGTGGTGAAACACTGGAATGCGTTACCTAGGGAGGTGGTAGAATCTCCTTCCTTAGAGGTTTTTAAGGTCAGGCTTGACAAAGCCCTGGCTGGGATGATTTAACTGGGATTTGGTCCTGCTTCGAGCAGGGGGTTGGACTAGATGACCTTCTGGGGTCCCTTCCAACCCTTATATTCTATGATCTCTGCTCCCAGACCCCTGCTTTTCCAATTACTTTATTGTCTTCTCCTCCCAGAGCTGGGGTTAGAATCCAGGAACCCTGATTCCCAGCCCCACTGCTCTAATTCCCAGGACTCCCTTCTCATCCCTGATAGAACCCAGGGAGCTGGACTTTCAGCCCCCCCATTCCAACCGCTAGACCCCCACCTCCTCCCACAGCTGGGAATAGGACCCAAGTGCTCTGACACCCAATTGCACCTGCCCTCACCACCTGAAGTCCTGCCCTCCAGCAGCCAATTAACTGAGCCATGTCTACACCTGTGGGCTTTCCAGCATGAAGATTCAGAGCCTCTCAGGAACTAACTGTGGTGTGGTCTCCTCTTGGCCAAAGTCTTGCTTCCTCAGCTCCTGTCCCCTTGGATAATAGATGAGCTGTCTGCAGAGCGTCGCTGATGCCGTCCTCCCGTAGCTGCCGGTTATATACAGCCCGGGGTGGTGGGAGGGACTCCTGGGCTCAGCTAACACTGCGGAATGGGCAGCGCTGTGCAACCAGTGCCGGTAATGTTAGAGGGCTTCGTCCTTCACCCTCTCACGTCCCTGGTCCTTCTCGCATGAACAGAGAGCAACAACACCTGAAGTCAGAAGGTGCAAACAATTCAATGTTTATTGGGGTGAACTTCCAGCAAGCTTAAATCCAAGTTCTTTTTCCCTTATTTTCAAATCTCAACTTACTTCCTGTTTGCCCCTAATTTATATAGTAATATTCTCAGCTATACCTTAACCAATCATTTTACTGAAATGTACCTAACCAATCCTAACATATTGTAACATAATTCTCTAACCAATTATATCCCACTACCCTAATTAACTTACACCTAGCAAAATTAATTATACAGCAGACAGAAACAATTAGAGAACCAGACAGATTTACAATAGAAAAGTGGGGGCCATAAAGATAAAACATACAGAAATGAGGGTTTCACAACCACAACTATTGAGAAGTGATTTCTTGTCAGACAGGATGCTATCAAACTAAGTTTTCTTTAACCATCTTTCTCTGGAGGTGGTAGGCATTATCAGGACAGGATTGTATTCCTAACAGCCCAATAGCACCTGATTTCATTGTGACTAGTTTGGAATGTGAGGAGGTGACCGGTCGCTTCCCAGCTCACGGCTGCCTCTGCTGCTTAGCCAAAGGCCTCAAGAACAGGGCCTCAGACTGTCACTGTGAGAGAAGGCCCTTACACAGGCAGACAGTGATTGTCATTTTTTTTTTATACCTTTATAACTAGCTAAATGTTAAACATATACCTAAATTCTTAAAGTAATAGGCCTTTACAGACAGGCCTGAATATCTATATCCTAACAGGCAACGTCAATTGTGAAACAAACAGACCTTGGAACAGACACTACCGCTGTCTGTTCATTCAGGCCCATAGTGCGGGGAGCTCTCCTCGTCAAAACGGGTTTAGCACAAGTCAGCCACGTGCCTTAGACAGAACCAAGGGGGAGTCTCCCAACTTGTGCCATCAATGCAACGTCCCTGGTCAGGAGAGAGGAATAACTACGTCTTCTTTTGCTATTCAGAGGGGCTGAGCTATTCCAAGAGACCTAAGGGAATGAGGTGCCCAACTCCCATGGACCATCTCCGGGAGCTAGATTCACAAAGGGGCTTAGGCACCTAAAGGCCCCTAGAGCTGAGTGCTGACAAGGAGTTTGGCTCATTGCACTTGAAGTGATAGCTTTCTACCATGCCACGCAGCCACTCAAGGGTAAGCCACTTGGGAGGAAGACAGCACCTCGTTGGCTGGAAAACCACCTTTATGACACTCAAGTGTGTTTACACAGATGCTAAAACATAACTTATAGAACTTCTGTCTGGCTTTATCTGTATAGACTCTCTTCTTTTCTGCTATGTTTTGCGAAGGCCGATAAGCATTGTTTGTCGTGTGCAATAATTAATAGTGGCAAGTTGTAAATACACTGCGAATGGCAGGTGTTCAACCCGCTTGGGTGAAAAGGTAACAAACCACTTGGACCTTATCAATGACCAGGACAGCAGTCTGGTAGAGGGATAAGATTATCTGGAGAACAAAGGAAGGAGGATGCGGTTTAAGGAGAGTCCTGACTTGAAAGGAATGTCTAAATGCTCTGTATTCGGGATCAAAAAGGATCCTAATGAGAAGCCATAAAATGAAACTGTAAAAGTGGGACTTTCTCCCTTCTCTCTTTCTAGCAATAACCCTCCATTTAAATCCTTACCAATTCCTGACTGAAAGTAAAACTGCTCTAATTAGGGTATGTCTACACTACAAAATTAGGTTGAATTTATAGAAGTCGATTTTTAGGAAGTGATTTTATACAGTCGATTGTATAAGGCTGTAAAAGGCAATTTTATTCAGTCAATTGTATAAGGCTGTATCCCTGCAATTTAAAGAAGGACATACTGCTTGGAAAATGTTTTCAAGAGGATATGGGTGACCTCTCTAACTCCTGTTTCCACCCAGTGGTGCAAGCTTTGATTACTACTTATATGGTTGAAGACGGCTTTAGCTCCTTTGGAGATGCATGTTTGCAAATAGTTTACCTAAGAGCAAAGCTTCTGATATCATGGCTATCATGGCCTGTTTTCTAATCAGTAAGTCACTGGAGTGCGGATTATTTTTATAATATTTTTGGGAAATCCACACTTAAAACAGTACAGTGCCTGGGCAGGGTGGCACTAGATACGCCTCACGTACTGGACGGGCGACCCGTTGTGGCAGACCAGGCGGATACGGGCTATGGTGGAGCTGCCCCGGTAGAGGCACGGACCCTTGGGTAGGCGGGTGCAGAAGGTCAGCCGGAAGGTGCCCAGGCTGTCGCGGGCATCTTGCCCGTGGCTCAACCCCGAGCTGCAGACGGCTCTCAGCTGGGCCTCGCTGGCGTGGACGAAGGTGTTCTTGCCCTGGCAGCGGATGCTACGCTTCCCCATCATGGTTGTGCAGTACAGCTGGTCGTTCTCAGCCCATGACTTGGGGAAGTCGAGATGTCTCTTCAGGAATTTATCATACTGGGCGTCAGCTGTCGAGAGTGCCAGGCAGGCAGCTGCCAGGCAGAGCAGGGGCAGGAGAGCTGGGCGGGGTGACTTTGGGGCCATGGCAGGGCCGGCCCTGGGTTTGTCTGTAGCAGGGAGAACAGGGCCTGCAGGACGGAGACACCATGGGGAGCTGCTTCTAGTGTGGAGCATCCTGGCACCAAATGCCCCTCCGCCCCCAAAGCTCCACCCCCGCCTATAGTCCTCCCAGTCTTCCCTCTCCCATTATCCCCCCCACTCTGCCCCCAAACTTTGCCCCTCACATTATCCTCCCAATCTGCCTCCTCTCCTTATCTCTCCACTCTGCCTCCAAACTTATGCCCCCTCCCATGGTCCCCCCACTCTGCCCCCAGAGCCTTGCCTCACCCACCCCACCCCCAAAGTCCCCCACTTCTCTAACCACTAGACCGCACTTCCCTCCAAGAGCCGGGCTAGAGCCCAGAGGCAGAACTTGATGAATAATGGGTGTTGGGGCCATCACACACAACTCAATATGTGTCTTTGGTTTGGGGCAGCAGGAGAACAAAATATGTTAAAACTTTCAACCAGCTGACAAGGTGAAAACAAGTCATGTCAGGTGGAAACCAAACCTGCCACTGCACCCCTTCCATGTCGGCACTTGGATTAAAGTAGAGGAGGACAAAATTTCCTGAAGGGCTGGAGTCAGGCCTCCCTTTAACCTGTCACCCAGCGGGCTGGGGAGCTAACGGGTATGTGGGACCCGGGTTCAAGTCCCCCCTCTGCCTGCTGAGGAGGAGGAGTTGAATAGGGGCTCATGGGGGTTAAGGGAAGAGGAGGGTTGGGACACAGAAAAGGGGAACGTTTGGCGTGGGAGTGATAGGGAGACTGGGGGAGCATTGGGGAAGGAGATCCTGTCAGCCACACATTACCCTCCTGTATATGTGCCACTACCAGTGGGGCCCCCAGCCCCTCCCACTGGGGTGTGACCTCCCCCTTCCCTGCCCCCTCATGTGAACCAGATTCTGGGGGGCTTGCTTATCTCAGAGCATCTGAGCCTTTTCTCTACCCCACTGTGTGAGCTAGGATCTGGTGGTCCCTGGCCCCCAGAGGTGTTTGAGCCCTGTCTCCATTCCCTGTCCTCTGTATGTGACCCAGGATCTGGGGGCGGGGAGGGAACTGCACATTTATGGGCATCTGACCCCTCATCTCTGCCCCCTTCATGTGAGCCAGAATCTGGAGGGGGCTTGTCTTTCTGGGGTTCTCCGAGCGCCACTCTATCCCTTATGTGAATCAGGGTCTGGGGCAGACCTGGCCTTCTGCACAATGAGTTTACAACAGGCAAGTTCAGCCACACACGTGTTAACAGGGCATAGCTGGGCAGCACTGAAAGCGGCCCTAGTTAAGGTTACATGGGCAGCCTTACCTGTGCGTTTCCCACTTTCCAGACCTTTGAGTTTTGCTCAGCTCAGAGTTCTGCCAGGGGATGACCCACCGCCAAGCACCCTACACTCGACGCTGTGCCGTTTATCAGAGTAAAGGTCAAGTCCCTGCTCCAATGGCTAATTACTGAGTCCAAGTAGAACAAATGCAAGAGGAGAGACCCAGAGAGAGATCCAAGTTCAAATCCTTTCTGTTCATCAGGCAGAGACTCCCACATCCCCGATAAGTGACCAAACCTTGGGGCTAAAGGGCCGGTATTTTCTCCTCAGCCATCCTGTACCTCTCATCTTCCTCTGCTTTTGTCAGAATACCCAGCCTCAAAATGAAAAATTCCCACTTGACTCAGAGCTTCTCGCATGGCCATTTCTGCCACATTTTGATCACTCAGGTTCAGCCGACTCAGGAATTTGCAGCTCATTTTGGGTCGACTGAAAGGGCGTTTGTTTGGAGAACAAATGACTATCGGCTGAAAGGTTCTTGGCCAGCTCTGCCCAGGAGTTCTGGCTCACGGCCTCCACCTACTGTGACCCATCAGCCCCAATGAGCCCCCAGAGCTAGGAAGACACCTCAGAACCTGACCCCAGCTGGGTTGCCAACTCACCCTGTCCTGGGGCTCGTCTGGAAGCTGGATCTGGAAAGTGTCTGAGCCTCCTCCCACTCTGGGGCCCTTATATGGAGCCCAAGGGTGGGAGACACACAATGAGCAACTCAGCAAACACAGCTGGGGAGCAGAGACTCCCAATCAATGGCCATAAAAGTAGGCACCGGGTTGGTAAATATTTGCTGTCAAGTGTCGAAGATATGCCCATGCCCCTCAATCCCAACTCACAGCTCCCTGCTATCCCAGCCCTACCCCCAAAACAGCTTTAGCAGCACCCCTCAGTCCTGAACCACACCCCCTCCCATTCCTCCACACCCTCCCTCTACCCCCCATTCAACCCAGCAGCCACAATGCCCATCTCTAACACACCTGTGACACCCATCACCATGGTCTCTGGTCGCTGTGTTCTGTCCCCATCCCCACCCCTTTCTCTGCAGGTGGCTTTTATACTATAGGGTCTCTGCTGCCAGGATTGTCCCTGGCACTGGGTTTGTCCAGCACCGAGCACATGGGACCCAGTCATGATGGGGGACGCTGGGATACAGCAAGGCAATGAAATCTCTCCCCCCTTGGACAGGGAGCCACCTGCCATACCCTGTTAATCTCCTACGAATTGGTTAAGGGGGATTTTGGGAACCCCTAGGGGCTGCCATTGTACAGGGCACTGCACAGTCACAGAGGAAGAAACAACCCCTGCCCAGCAGAGCTTCCAGTGCACATAGAGAGAAAGGTTGGGAGGGGAAACTGAGGCACAGGCAGCAAAGCATCAGGGCCAAGGTCACACAACAGGGAACAGAACCCACATGTCCTGTGTCCCAGCTCCATTTCCCCTCCTCTAGCCTACAATTCCTGGCTTTACAAATTATGGATCTTACCCCAGACCCACTGCAACCAACTGGAGTCTTTCCCTGACTGCGGTTCCGGCCCTGCGCTGGAAAAGGGAATGTTCCTGAAACCCCATTGTGCAGAAGGTGAAACTGAGGCACAGAGAAGGGAAGTGTCTTGCCCCATGTGCAGAGTCAGGAATTGAACCCAGGAGTCCTGACTCTCACAGCACAAGACACTACCCCGGGGAAAACTAAGCTAGTCTCGTCTTTCCTAGCCGAGAGGAGCTCAGAGCAGGATGCTCCTGTCCCACCCTCGGTGAACGAGAACAGCAAAAAGCTCAAACCTGGTGGCCGATGAGGAAATAGCGCCCAGCTCTGAGGACAGACACACACCAGCTGGTGTCGTTTTGTTCTGTGTTTGCAGCGCTGAGCACACTGGGCCACGTGTCCAGCCCCGGGTGGCCTCACTATTCAAACAGTGTCTATTCATCTGTGTCCCTCTGACCCGACACGTACCTGCCAGCCAGTGATTTATCCACCCGGCCTAGCATCCGGCCTTGGAGCGGTGCCAATTCATACCAGCTGGGGACCTGTTCCAAAACCGCCCTGAACATTAGCAGCTTTATCTCCTTCTCCCTCGTGCCAGCAGCCAAGTTATTGCAGATTCTCAGTACCAGGCGAGCGTGGAGAACCAGATCCTAGCTCCGTCCGTCTCTCTATAGCAGCGGTTTGTCATGCTCTGGTCCATGCGGTCTCTGTGTCGGTGCCAGGTTTCTACTTGCCACAGCTCAGCCAGGCCTCCGCGGATGCTCCCCCTGCGTCTGCAGCTACAGTGCTATTTACACGGCTCTGGCACGCTGAGAACTCGCCCAGTCTGTGCACACGAGCAGGGACTCGCACCCCCAGCGTGGAGAGTGGAGACACGGCCTGAGCCCACGCCACAGAATGAACCCCACTCCAGTGGGCTTTTGTTATGTATTTTGAGCAGCACCTAATTTATTTAACCCAAAGGTGTTATACAAACAGGCCTTTGCCCCAGCATCTCTACCCAGAGGGCGAGGGAGCTGAGTTCATCTTAGTCCATTAACCTCACTTACGTCCAGGTCCGTTACTGGCCAGGCCCCCATGGCCCAGAATCCTCTTCTGAAGTCAGTGCCTCTGATGCCCAGCAGGGAAAGGGTCTCTCCCGCTGGGTCAAACTGCACAGACCCTCCATCAGAAGAGGATGTCGTCCCTCCACTCTGGCGCTGCTTCCTGGTGACGTCCTACCGCGGCAGAGGTGGGGGGGCAGTTTTCCCTCAGACTTGGAGTGTATAGCACCTCCCTTTCAAAGCAGCTCTGTAGTCTTTTATTCTATTTAATGACAGGTTTCAGAGGAACAGCCGTGTTAGTCTGTATTCGCAAAAAGAAAAGGAGTACTTGTGGCACCTTAGAGACTAACCAATTTATTTGAGCATGAGCTTTCGTGAGCTACAGCTCACTTCATCAGATGTTATACCGTGGAAACTGCAGCAGACTTTATATCCACACAGAGAATATGAAACAATACCTCCTCCCATCCCACTGTCCTGCTGGTAATAGCTTATCTAAAGTGATCAACAGGTGGGCCATTTCCAGCACAAATCCAGGTTTTCTCACCCTCCACCCCCCCACACAAATTCACTTTCCTGCTGGTGCTAGCCCATCCAAAGTGACAACTCTTTACATAATCAAGTCGGGCTATTTCCTGCATAGATCCAGGTTTTCTCACATCCCCCCCACCCCCATACACACACAAACTCACTCTCCTGCTGGTAATAGCTCATCTAAACTGACCACTCTCCAAGTTTAAATCCAAGTTAAACCAGAACATCTGGGGTGGGGGGGGTAGGAAAAAACAAGAGGAAACAGGCTACCTTGCATAATGACTTAGCCACTCCCAGTCTCTATTTAAGCGTAAATTAATAGTATCCAATTTGCAAATGAATTCCAATTCAGCAGTTTCTCGCTGGAGTCTGGATTTGAAGTTTTTTTGTTTTAAGATAGCGACCTTCATGTCTGTGATTGCGTGACCAGAGAGATTGAAGTGTTCTCCGACTGGTTTATGAATGTTATAATTCTTGACATCTGATTTGTGTCCATTTATTCTTTTACGTAGAGACTGTCCAGTTTGACCAATGTACATGGCAGAGGGGCATTGCTGGCACATGATGGCATATATCACATTGGTGGATGTGCAGGTGAACGAGCCTCTG